CAAGACCCCTGCCCTCTGCAGGGACTGCTACCATGTCTTCACAAACCAGAGCAAATTCTACAGGCTTCATATAAACAGGCCTTAATCAGGGCACGTGTCTCAGCATAAGAAGAAATTCAGTTCTAAACATCTCAGGAATAATAATAATAATAATAATAATAATAATAATAATAATAAATATAAATATTTACTAGAGGCTAAAATGACTTAGACTTTGCTCAATTCATCTAAGAGAAACGTTTTCTTTTGAATGGTCAAACTAACTTTTTGCAAGTTCTCTTGTGGTCCTACTTATATGGAGCCCTGGGGTTCAGGTGATATTTATGGGGAATCCCTTCAAGTCTCTTGATTTTAGTTTTCGTGAACTGGAAAGAACTGATACCCTCTAGGAATCTTCCCCACACTAAATATACCCAGGGATTTAAGATTTCACCATCTAAAGTAGCAAGGAGTGCTAGTGGCTTCGAGACTCTTATGAAAGCTTCTGCAGTACCCTGGACACTGGGAGCTATGAACAAGCCTGAGCTTCCCCACGCTAAGCCCTGATTTGCCCCTCTCCTGCTCCATTGTTCCTACTTACTGTGTACATGAAATACAAAGAGGAAGGATATAGATGTGGTCAGGCGTCGACCTGGTTTGACCCCAATCACCAGAAGCGGAGGGGAGAAAGGGAGGAGGAAAGGGTAGTACTGGAGTTGTCATTTTTAAGAAGGCTAACACCAGCTTTAACAAAGAACCCACAGTCTGCTTCCCATGAGCCTCAGGCTGAATGACCTAGACAAAGATGGAAAGATGAAGGCCAAAGTATGAAACAATGAGCAAGCAGCAATTTGATGCTGGATGTATACCAAAAGACATCTCGTTAGTTGATATAGCTCTATAAAGAAGTTATGCAGAACACAGCCAAGCTGTACAGCATGGTGAGCAGTAGCCTTATCAAGTTCACTTTTTTTTTCATCTAATATAAAAAATGTAGCAGGCAGCCTCTCGATTTTCTCTGAATGTCATCTCATAGCAGAAGTCAATTAGCACTTCCAAATTGATATTCCCATAACAACAGCCGAGTTACTTAAATACACTCTCCAAGTTACAAAGTGCTTGCAGTGTAATATAGTAGTGTTAGCAAATTTAAAGGTAAGGCTATGTGCTATTTTCTCTAGGATGTACCATCACATCATCTTGTAAGCATTAAACAAACATGATTAAAAGCGTCAGGGCTCAAGGTTGGTGGGTCCTAACCCATGCTCCTCAATAGCTTTGTTGGACATCTGAGTATGGGAGAGGGTGGGGTCTTAGACTCTGTAGACCTCTCTGTCAGCATTACACTGGCCTCACCTTTCTCAAAGTTTGCATCCACAAGGTTGTCTTAGTCAAGAACCCCACCGGTCATGTGCACACAGCTGTGTTGGGATTCTGTTGCTTTCTTTTTCTTTAGCTGTACAAGCTCATTTCTGATATTCCCCTCATTTCGTTATTAGTATTATTATATCTTTTTACCATATTTACCCCGTGGCTAAAGAATACCATCCATTTCCATTCAAATTCTCTCCAGAGCATAGTGAGAAGGTCTCATCTCTTAAGAGTCCTTAAATTGAAGGACAGTGAGGAAGAGTAATGACTTTCTGCCAAGTATTGGCTGACGGCAAAGTTCAAGCTGACACTGCCTCAGAGGACAGTGCCACCTTCTTAGAGCAGAGGTTAGCATTGAATAAATTCTTTGAAAGCATGTGTTTTAAACCTGATGTTTATTGAAACCCACCCTTCTCCAGGCGATCATCAAGGATGGTAGCAACCATTCTCCAGTTATCGCTTAGATAGAGCCCTTGCTTGGTCTTTTTCAGAAATACAAGTAAATTTGGACCCATTGATTCTTCTTTCTACCCTCACTCCCACCCCCAGAGGGAAGCGTGGACTTTCTTAACTGTTAGAACCTATGGGAAGACACAGAGAAAGTTCCTCTATATGATGTTGTTTCTCCCCATGGCCAAAGAGGGAAGAGGAAATGTCTAGGTGACAGGGGTGGGGGCCATGACCCTCCTCCTCTAACAGCCCGTCATGCCATTTCCAAAAAGCAATCAGCAGGAAGAGAGGTGATCTCAGAATGCCCAAGATAGATAGAATAGGGTATACTTATATGCAGCATGGGGTCCCTAGTCCTGGGGCTCCCAGAGACAGAAAAGGGCCTTCTGTGGAGAGAAAGGCCACATGCCTTAAGAAATAGCCCCCCCCCCCCCTGAAGACAACCCAAAGGTCCAGTGTCCTTGCAGATGCAATTGGAGTCCTTGATGGAAGGAAGAGAGATGATGACCTCTGCTGGGGTCATGTAGGTGTAGTCCAGTCGGCACTCTTGGGGGCCTTGCAGGTGTGCACATCCAGGGCCTCCAGGCAGTCCTGACAGCGCACAGCACAGCACCAGTGGAATTTACACTCACATTTGGTCATCCGGGTGACATGGGATGTGTCATAGCCTCTCCCACAACACATGACTTCACAGCTGTCCATGCCTCGGGAAGTCAAGTTGCACACACGGCCTGCTGTACCCAGAGAGCCTGAAAAAGAAGCCAGAAAGACATCACTGAAAATGTTTGGGTGGAATACAATAGTATGGACAGAAGAGTCACAAGGTCTATCCTTACGAACAGAGCCTAGTCCAACCTCCTCATAGCTTGCTGAATCTGTGTCCTCTGGGCTTTTGTGTTGTCCCTCTATGCAGCCGAGAGGTGTCCCAAGGGCAGAAACTAGGAAGGGTGGACCAGGAACTTTGAATTTTCTTTTGGCAACCCGAATCTAGAGTTCCTCCTTTCAATTGGATTGACTCTCCATGTTACCCTTATCCAGGCTTAGAATGAAGGGTCATCGGGTGGGCAGAGTTAGATAAGAGAGAAACAAGGTTTTATCCCACTTCTTCCTTTTCCAACTTCAATTCACAAAAAGGAAGCTGTGGCCAAGGCCAGCTTTCTCTGAGTGGAGGGGGTATTGAACCTTGGAAAGGGGAGGGGGCAGTTTCCCTAGACCTGCCTACACTGGCTTGGTAGGCCTGAGCTGTAACTGCTGGCCAGAGGGGGTCTCATTTGTATTAGGCATTGAGGAGAAAGGGCATAGCCTGGCCTTGTCCATCACTCTCCTTTCCCCTCTTGCAGTTGAGCAGACCCCAGGAGGTGTGGGAAGTACCTGTTTGAAGTTATGAGTCCCATCCTTCATAAAAAGGATTAATATATTAATGCCATCTTAGTTAACCAATGTTCTATTTGCTAAGTGGCAGTCTATATTTATGCATCTGTTTCCTCACAAGGAATTTCAAATACAGAGTTGAGTGTAGTGTCTCACACCTGTAATGCCAGCAATCACTGCAAAATTCATTGTCAATCTGGTCTATATACAGAGTTCCAGGGAAGACCAAGACATAGTGTGTCAATCTGGTCTATATACAGAGTTCCAGGGAAGACCAAGACATAGTGATACCCTATCTCAAACAAAGAAATAAGAATTTCAAATATGTGCCGGGCGTTGGTGGTACATGCCTTTAATTCCAGCACTTGGGAAGCAGAGGCAGGCAGATCTCTGAGGGTTCGAAGTCAGCCTGGTCTCCAGAGCAAGTGCCAAGATAGGCTCCAAAGCTACACAGAGAAACCCTGTCTCAACCCCCCCCCCAAAAAAAAAGAATTTCAAATATGCAAAGCCTTTTAATTAACTCTATCCCCAGGGAAACAGACGCAGGTCTTTTACAACCTTATCCTTCCTATAATTTCTACACTCTTAATGTAAAATCAAGAGTAGTGGACAATTTTGGAGAGTTTTCTCAGCTTGCAATGACCCTTTCTCCATCAAGCTTTCCTACCAAGATGAGCCATTGGCAGCCATGTTGTATAATATCACCATCCTACCTGGACCATAGGTAGGCACCTGACTTATCCTGGGCCGATTAGATAGAGTTCCCAGGAGGTTGTTGCCCTGAATAAACTCAGAGTTTCCAGTCCAGGGCCACAGAAAGACATGGGTAAAGCAAATATATAGAGCCAGCGAAGGCCAGACCAGGAAAAGGAGCCCTGCTCAATCAAGCTTTCATGTCTTCTGGGGTCCTGGCCACACAACAACCTTGGAGGTTCTTGAGCCTGCATTTTCTCCTATAATATGGCTTGAACACAGTGTCTGACGTATACTAGGCAAGCACTCTGCTTCTGAGCTACAACCCCAGTCTGAAGCTCTATCCTTCTACTAACTGTTCCTTTTAGCGTAACCTTTCCTATTTCTATTACAATCAACAATGCCAAATAACTGACAAACCTACAGAAGAAAAATAAAAAGAAGATAATGATTTAACTTTTTTTCCCCTGACACCTCGTGACTCTGTTTATCACTGTCTGCGTGGTGTGAAAATTATCTGCGTGAGTGTCATGTTGTTCTGCCCGTGCAGAACAACCAGGGAAATGGCAGGGTTCAAGCAGGGGGGTGTGAGGTCAAGAAGAGGAGAGGGTGGGCCAGCCTTGCTCTGCGTGATCAGCTGCCGAGAGCAGGAAGACAGACAGAGGAGTTTCCTGAAGACAGGAAGGATGGCAGAGGGCTGGGCCGGGGTGGAGGGTGGGTCAGCCAGGGATGGCCCTGAGCCTGCATCATGCTGAAGAAGCATAGGCTTAGAAGAGACAGCAGCTGGGCCTGGATTAGGATGACCATCAGAAAAGTCTCCTCAGAAATCACCAATTGTGCAAAAAGGATTCAATGCCAAAAGCTGCCTTTGAACATCACACCCGTTGTTTCATTTGATAAACATGTCGTTAACATAAACATGTATAAGATGCTGTGTTGGCTGCTTGGACTTTGGGAGGCAGGGAAAACTAAAATAAATAGGAGGCAGCTCCTGGCTTCAGCAGACTTGTAATGTAGTGGAGAGACCAGTGTGTGGAGAGTTACAACCTCAACCTACACATCATTACTTCATCTGTTAGCAACCTACTAAAAACCACAGCAGAATCCCATTCAGGGTATCATGGCTGACAAAGCTCAGACTGTAAAGCCTAAGTCTTTAGGGTATGCACAATTAGGGGTTTGCTTGTAGTGTTGCCATATGTCAACTGTACAGTTGTGACAAGGTACTTAAACATACACAGGCTTCCTTTTCCTGTCTTGCAAAGTCGACACAAAACCAGTTCCTTCTTCATAAGGCTTCAGGGAAGATGGACTTTATCCATGGAAGAGTCTGTCATAATAAGTGCCCCAAAAGGTTAAGCATCCTTTCATTTACTTAGCAAGTGCTTACTGAGACCTGCCATGTGGTAGGCTCTGGGGGTTGTCAGAGAACAAAATAAAGATGCTGCCCTGAGGCACTTACATCATTGTCACAATGAGATTTCTTAGTATGGATATTAATAGCAGGAAACAGGACAGGGTAAAGAGTCCTCAACTACATGGTTTGAACAAGAAGAGGCATAAGAGAGAGAATGTAAAGGGTGAGCTGATGTTTAGGGAAAGAATGGAGTGATGGGAATTTCTAGGCACAAGGAGCTTCTAGCAGAAATGCTTCAGACAGCTTCACAGGGGAGCAGATTCAATATGGCTGAAGAGCAGGCTGTGTATTCTGCACAAAGCATAGGAATGAAGACTGCAGCAACAGGTTAAAGTGCCTTTGCCTGGGCAGAGCCTTGGTTTTATCCTATGGTGGGTGTGAAACTCGTGTAGATTTTAATCCAGGAAAAACATACCTAAATCTGTTAGAATGACTGGGAGCAGGGAGGCCAAATGTGAGCTCTGGGAAGAGTCCAGGCAAGAGGCCATGAGTGGAGACAAAAGGACACTGCATGAGAGGCCGCAGAGGTTGAGCCACTAGACTTTGGCAATCTATTGAAGTATGGAGTTGAAGGTGGAGGGGTCAAGTAGGAAATGACCAAAACATGTTCATTTGGCTTCATAGTGAGAAGAGAAGCATATGATTGGGATGCTATGGGCTGGGGGTGGGGGATGGAGGGAGGAAAGGCTGTGTAAAAGACAGTCCAAGTCCTCAAAGAGCATGATGGTGAAGTTGACTTAAAAGACAGCTGTGAGGACAGAGATGGATGAAGCCGGGACCTCAAGGTCATTCCAGGCCATAAGTGTTTGGGTGAATCATTACACATCAACAGAAAGCTGACACGGGCTTTCACTTCGAGCTAGTTTTCCTTTAGACAAAGTGTAGAATTGGGATAAACTAGCCATGAATATTTGAAGTTGGAGTAGTGATTTTTATTAAGGGTGGGGACAAAGAACATGAGGGAGCTTCTAGCATACTGTGCCTCTTTCAAGTCATGACGTGGGCACAAAGTACATGGATGTGTTTAATTGAGGAAACTTGCTGTATTATGGCCTTAGTGAATGCAGCTAGTGTTATTTGAACTTTTCCACATGTGGTATGTATCTTAGTAAGAAGAATATGATGGAGGGAGAAATAAAGACGGGGAGGCTACATGGCCAAAAGCTCTATGTGAGGAGCAGAAAGGCGTTCCACATGGCTGGGTTTCAGTGTTCAAAGGGGAGAATAAAAGAGTTAAGCCTGGAGATGTGAGTAGAAGTCGAAAGTCGCTTTAGATAATAGGGCAGGGGGTTTATCATTACTGTTAGAGCAACAGATTTCTATTGAAGGTTTTCTTTCAAAGAGCAACATGTGTTTACTTTGTGTTTGAGGAGGCAAAGCAATGTGCTGGGGCTGAATATATTGAAGCAAGCCAAAATAGGGGAAAGGAGATAAGTTAGCTACCCACACAGAACTGAGAGTCAGGCACAAGATGGCCTAGATTAAGACACTGATGGTGAGTTGAAGAGGCAGGACCAGTAGCCAGTGACTGATGGGTGGATGGGAAAGGAATAGAAGAGTTCAGCAGGGCTTTCAGGTTTTGGTGGAAGCAGTCACATTGGTCCTACTGATTCCCAATGTGAGAAATACCTGGTAGGGGTAGACTTTAAGTAAAGATGAGTTTAGTTCTTAGCATATTGCGTTTGCTGTGACTACCAGTTGTAAAGGCAGGGCTTGTATGGGGAGATGAAGTGTTTTATTCCCCAAATCAGACTATTGATTTCTAAGGTGGTGGTCTTTCCCAGTGAACTGAAGCCTAAGGGTATCTAAGACAGTAGTTTCACTTAGTGCCAGGGAATTGTCATGATAGATTTTGTTTCCCAAATAAAGAAATCTGGACAGGACTCCCTCTGAACCCAAGGATTGTTTGTAAACTTGAATTCAACACCATCTAAACTCAGGGAGGAAAGGCAAGAGAAGGCAGTGGCCATTGGAAAAACTTCATCTAAAAGTGATTTCAGAGCCAGGCCTGGTGGTCCTGGCCTATAATCCAGCTACTTGGGAGACTGGAATAGAATGACAGTGAAGTTAGGCACAGAGTGGGCTACATAGTGGGTTCAAGGCCCATCTGAGCAACTTAGTAAATTGTGAAAATAATTTACAAAGTAAACAAAAAAGCAACAACAACCAAGTAAATTGTGAAACAGAAACAGGCCATGAAGTGTATTAGTTCCTCATTCAACCAGAAGTAATATGAACATGCCACTCACCACCACTTCCCAAATTATG